CTTGGATGTGCAGGTGGTGTAATCAGTAATGACTTGGAATTGTTAATCAGAGAGCCGGGTTCCAATTCCCATTGGGTTCGTTATATTCACTTATGCATAAATACCCTTGGAAAAGGTATGAATCTATCTCTCCTCCCCCAGCTATGGATTAAAGGCATGTATCACTAAACCATTATTATCTCAAAAAAATAAAATGAAATGAAAGAATTGTGCACAAAATATTTAGACACTATTTACATTGTTCAGACTATCGTTCTCGTCTTTGATGCCATATTTATCATAACGTTCCGGCTGTTGTATGCTCCAGCCTTCTTCAGGTGGTTGGAATGTCGAACTGAACCCTTTATTTCACTTGCTGGGGTAGACTATTCTAGTTCCATGTGCCATGTCTAATGGATGTCAGTTATCAGTTATCGCCTGTCAATTCCCCTCTTCAAGTTCTCCACCGCCTTAACCAGGTACTGAACTCACACTCTTTGGGTCCTGTCACTGGATCTAACTAACACCTTTATCCACTGTGCCATGTGTCAAGGACTTGAAGAAAGCCAGAGCGTAAAACAGCCGAAATGTTGTGATAAATATGGCAACATAGATGAGGATGATAGTCCAAACAATGTAAATAGTTTACATAATACCTCATCTCAGAAATATAGACAAAATATTTAGATTTCGCCATTAAATAACCTATGACAATTGATATGCTGCTAAACAAAAGCAACATAATGTGATCTATATTTGATGTGTATTTGTTCTCAATTCATGTATATGTATTTAAAAACTGATTTATGAATGCAATAAAGTCCCCCCCCCCCGGAAAATAAATTGTCCAACACATTGGTTATACTTAGAAATAATTTCAGCTACATTTTTCATCTTAAAGATTTTATCCTTGTTAAGAAAGAATATAACTCATAAAAATGTAAATGCTTTTAAGGCACTTTGATGCTAACCTTACTTATTATAAAACGCAGATTGTGTGTGTGTGTGTCTGTTCGTTTATATATTGGATTGGATTTCCTACATTTTTCAACTGATTTCAACAAAACTTTACAGGACTGCATAAAATTACCTTGCGGTGGTTCTGACAGTGCCAAAAATTGGAAAAACACAATTGTTTTTGCACAAAATCAATTTCAAAACACGATTAAGAGGCATCACAAGAATGAAAGGGGACAACTCATATAGAGTTATACTTATTATAAAACCCAGGTTGTTTGTGTGTGTGTGTTCGTTCATATATGGGATCGGATTTCCTACATTTTCCAACCCATTTCAACAAAACTTCACTTTTTTTTTTAGCAGGTAGTGTTTCTTATTGTCTTGCACACTTTTTTCTTTATTTTTACATTCAGAATGCTTTAAAAATTCCATTTACAAAACAATTGTTTATAATAAAATTCTATTCAATCGATAGACTCATAACGATTGAAAACAATGTTTTTGTTTCAGTTTGGGTTTGACCAATTCATAAAAAATAAATAAATAAATAAAACTAATTAAGACATGCGTGTCCGTCAACCTTAAACAATAATCTTTGTCAATTTTATTTTTCAGTCTTTATGATGGTCGATACTTTATCTATCTCTTACTGTTACATCCCTGGGCAATGCCGGGCTCTACAGCTAGTCTACAATAAGTATACTACACGGTGTTTTCTACATATCTCTATTATTGAGAGAAAGATTTTTCACATGTTGGTATATTTCTTAACAAAGACATCAAAGAACTGGATGAAAAGGGTTAAGTTATTGTTTTAACACATGAAAATTTCATGGTTTTCCTGTCTGAATTTTTCTGATGAAACTTAATTCTTAAGTTAATGGGTGAGTAAGCTCATGGCATGTTCTACAACAATAAAACATCTGTAGAAATTTCCCTATCGCCTTGTTAAATATTTGAGCTTAACTTCAATGAAATATTGCAATAACAATCATAAATATGAATGCTGGACATTATTTTAAGAAGTAAGAGGGTACGAATGAAAAGATTTGAAATTGACAACTTTTTTCCATTTCACTGAAACAGATATTAAACAATTTTATCTTATTTTTCTTTTTCATTCATTTTTTTTTTTTTCAGTGAGACCAAGTAGTATCTTTTCCCCATGTTCCATGCGATCAAAAGGAATAGCCCATTATGAGGTATTGCAGGGCAAAATGGTTTTACGAACTAACAAAGAGAGGGACAAGCACAATTATAATATAGGATATAATTATTTTATTATTATTATCATAAATAATACTGTCCTGGGTATGATGACAAACTACATCTGACAGCAAGGCCTCTGACCAGGCGGTTTTGAGGAGTGTGAAAACACCTCTTAATTGCTGGGGGTCAAAACATGTAAAAATAGGTTTTAATACCAGCAATACATTTTTGAAGAAAAAATTATTACCAGCAATACTATTTTGGGGAAAATATTACTGGCAATACATTTTTGCAAAAAATATTACCAGAAATACTTTTTGGAAAAAATATTAACAGTTCGAATTCCAGTCGAAGCCATTTACATTCACTTATGTGCTAATACCCTTGAGAAAGGTATGAATCTTCATCTTCTTCCCCAGCTATGGGTAAATAATAGGACAGGCCAGGTTCTATAGCCTTGAATGGCAAATGGTCTCCCACAGAAAGATATGGCTACCTACTGCGGGACAAAAAAAATCTGTCTCGTTAGTCATGTATCGAAAGATACATGATCGCCTAAGCGTGTATCACGGACGGCACATAATATTGATTCAGCAATAAAAATCTTGTTGGCATGCTGTAAAACAAACCAAACCATAATAACATTTTTTTTTTTAAATCCACTTTCTATTATCAACAGAACAAAAATTACATCACTTTGGATCCTCCATAATTTCCTCTCTTTTTCTTCAACGTTGAATTGAAACGTTTTCCAAATATATTCGAGGATTTCTCGATTTAAATTTTCTAATCGATATTTTTTGCTTTTTATCAACATGGGCATTTTTTAATTTTTTTTTTTTTTTACATTATGTCTTTGTCTTTGACGAAATTCCTACCTAAAGGATAGAAATCAGTCGCAAAAATATTTTTCCCAATTTCGTCATTTCATTTTATTTTCGATCAGCCAGATGTCCCGAGACATAAATCTTACATTTTCTGTTAATACTTTGATAAAACTAATGTTTTACTGCACTCAACACAAATCGACTGCATTCAAAAATAGATGGGTTTTTTTTCAGAGTCAACTCACCTTTACTACACAGGGAAGCTTTCGCTTTGTTGTTGCTAGAGTTGAGATTTCTTTGTCATATTTTGTAATGTTAATAAATAACACTAATTATATTCAAATTAAAAAAAAAAACTGAATAAAAGACATGAAAATAAAAAGTCAGTAGTTTGAGTACATGATTTCTTGCAACCGGTGTATAAGAAGAATTTGTTCCTTGCGATAACAATTGTTTCTGTATTAGTGAAAACAAAAGCGGATAACATTGCCGAAAAATTTCATTTATTTGTTTATTAATTCTTATAGCGATTTACTAATTGTAGCTTAGATGTGTCATAAGAATGAAAATATGGAGAACCCAGCGAGGATCGAACACACTACTCAGTCGCCGTTGACCTAAGCTAGCGAGACACGCTTGCTAAAACCATTTTTTAATTTTTTACATCACGAGAAGTTCTATATAGCTATTTTAATTAGAGGTCGCATAAAGTTCAACTTCCAGGCTACTCTTTTAATTTCACAAGACTAAGAAGAATATTTAAAAATTTTAAATATTCTTGTTAGTCTTCTTGTTAAATTTATGAATGCAATTCCTCTCCTCTCCCAGGCACCACCAAAAGATGGATGCGTTTCACAAGGAATTAAAAACTAAAAAAGCACCTACCTATTGTTTTTTGTTTTTATTTTAAATTTGTCAAATTTAGGGAAATATTTGATTTGATTTATGTTATACTAGCAGCATGGTCCTGCGTTGCCCATGCTTGATTCAAAAATTGTACGACTCATACAGCAATCACTATCACCTAAAATATTTTTGCCCTTCCTTGCCTTTAAAGGAGTGCTCTTTGCCGTGCTGATGTAGCTACATGCCTTACTTCTTGCCTATCTCACACTGCAAATTTTTTCTAAGCTCTATACTAAACATTAAATCTGTTACGAAAAAAGAACTAAACAAAATGAACACAAAACGATCAGCTTTAAAAAAGGACTTGTAACTGGAAAAACCGAATGAAAAAAGAATGTTAACAACAAATACTTTTTCACACCCAACCCAGTTCTGCAGAATCAGAATCAACGTTGAGTTTAAGCAAGCGAATGAGCCAATTGGAGTACTTGTGACAAATGCAGCTATCAGTTTTTTTTTTTGCATGCTAGCATGTTATTTAACATTCGTGTCAGTCAGCTGTTGGCTCTCACGCTGGCCAACAGAATCTTCCTGCCTATTCATGGCAGCCAGCTATTGGCTCTCATTCTGGCCAATAGAAAATGGCTGCAAACTACATGAAAACTGCCGTAGAAGCATGAAAAAATCGATTATTTCCACTATCAATGAGAGTTTGGAAGTGCAAAGTCAGTCTTGGCCTTGCCGCAAACTTGGAGCATGTGCATATAAATTTTGGTGCAAATCCGTCAAAAATTGCGGCCATGCATTCATTACACACACACACACACACACATCCTGTCTTTTATAGATAGACATTCCATGCTAATAGGAATATTTCTTGGAAAACACGGTGGATAAAATAAGTAGAGGTTTATTGCAAAAACCAATACAATAAGAATAAAGGTAACAGTTATGTACAAGGTCATCACAAGTCAATCCAGTAGTCAGCGCTACTATTGGAAGATCGGTAGTTCTCGTATAAGTCCGAGTCGTACTTAACAGATTCCAGCTAGACAATATTTACCGGCCTCCCCACGAGGTAGGATGTGGCACAAGGCCAAATTTAATGTGGGGCAATTTGAGCCCATAAGCTCGGCCAAAAATTCAAAAAAAAAAAAAAAAAAAAAGTCCAAAAGTGGA